CGAACACACATACATATACTTATAACTAATCACATTCAGGCAACTTTCTAACCGCAGCAGGTAGAAAAGTGCACGCAATCGGTCAAAAGTACATTTGTGCATATTTTTTGAAGGTTACGAAGATCAAAACAGTTCGGAGATCCATAAATTTGTATGTGTGTATAAATTCGAATTGAAATTTTCAAAAATTTAATTCAAAATTTCATGAAATGGCTGTTAAATGCGCTACGTAGATGATGGCAACCCTGAAAGTGGAGCCAAAATTTACCATATACCCGTAGAAGAACTGCAATCAAAGCAATATTTCTCAAAGAAGCATATTTTATGCTGATAAACAACAACGAAACCCCGTCTTTTCTGATCATAACTTAAGTACACTACCTAAAAAGTGATTTCCTTCAGTGATAGCCAAACCTTTTCTTGTCAAGTGTACAAGCAATACACATTTACCAAGCTTAAATTGCGACTACAGTGTTTCAGTCGTGAACACCAGCTTTGAAATGTAGCGTTTAAGACTTTGCCATATTTTTTTTTTTTTTTTGCTTTTACAAGTACCTCTATGTTAAGAGGCATTTGATATAATGTGTACCAAATAATTATTATTACTTCCTCCAGCTGCTCTGCAAATGTACACTCGTTTGTAAGTATGAACACGTAAAAGCTTTGATAGCGGCGTACCGGTTTCATTGGTCAACTTATTAGCTTTCGTGCTTGCTTAAAGCCGCAAAAATTGCCGCTCGCTACCGTTTTAGTTCACATCCTTAACGGCTTTTTATTTACTTTTATTAATTTTCGGCGATTTCTTACTTTCCGAGTCAGTGTGAGTTGAATCTAGGTCAAGGATTTTTTTATTTTCTTTTCATTTACTTTTTTTGGGTTTATTTAAGAAGGCAAATCGCTGACCTTTAACTCAAAATTTCAATTGGAAAGTTTATAGAACAGCAAAACAATAAAAGCTCATTTAAGTAACGCTAAGATATTCCAGATAGGTTTAGGGATAGCTGACCATTCGTCCGGGCTATCCCGGGCGTAGAAATTACAATAAAAAGGATGTATTGAATAAAATTGTGTTACTCTGCCATCCATTATATGTCGCGATTTTCAGGTAATTATAATATGGAAAATATCGCTGACTAAATAAACCGTCCCGGATTTTGCCGGGAAAAATATAGTCACCTAAGTCTAGTGCTCTACTAAGATAACCGAGTTTTATTAGCATTATTAATACTTTAGTTATTGTTATTGTTTGTATGAAAATCTTTAACAAAGTGCACGTGGTTCTGGGTCATCTTGATAAAAACCGCTGAGCAGAGGAAACACGCATCCACACTATTAATAATTTAAAAAAGCGAGATGCATAGAACATTGCTGCGAAAAGCGTGTGTGTGTACGTCGACGAGTATTAAATTGCAAATATCCGCGTAAATATGTCCAAACCTTAAGTTTCCGTCTTCATGCGTGCATGCTAAGTGTGCGGTTAAGTGTTTTGCGGGTCGCGGAGACACCCAAAAGCTCACTCAAAGAGCGTACAAATCTGGGAAAATCCTTCAAGTTACTTCGGCTGCGCTGCGTAACGCGTTGTGACGTTTGCAACAAATGTTGCGTGTGACTTAGACTTACACATACACACACATATATTTGGAAGTATGTATATTAGGTAATTATTTGTGTGTTTGCAGTTTGTTGAACTACTTATTTTCATCTTATTAGCCAGACTATGTAGACTACAAAGCAAAAACCACATAGAAACATCAGCGGCATTGGTGCTACGCCGAAGGGCAATGCGGCGAGCGCGCCTTGGCGGAAGCGTTGCGACCGACGACCGCGTTTAGTTCGCCAAATTAATTTATGCGGTTTGGTACGCACTTTAGGATTTATGTACGCGGCCGCTATCGATTTGACACAATTTCACCTTTCTTTGTTTTTTTTTTCTTTTTCCACTTTCCTTTTTATTTACTTTTTTTGGGTTACATGGAAATATTTGTAGCCCTCAATTGAAGTTTATTTTAGTGGCAACTATTTTTGCAACGCTTGAAGTCGAATTTATGCTTTAAATTATAAAAAAAATGTACTTACATTGTTTCTTGCTCCGACATCGGCGCCCAGCTCAATCATACGATCCATAATGGAAGTTTTGTTGTCCTTTGTGGCAAACATGAGCGGTGTCATGCCAGTGTTCTACAATAGAATTATAATATTAATACAAAAATTAATGAATTAAGTTTTCATTTAAATACATATTAAGAATGATCATACAAGGTCCTAACTAATGGCGTCAATAGCTAGATCCCGACTAGGTGGGTCTGGGATTCGAATTTCCGGCGCAGAAAATCGTTAATTATGGTTCACCTTTCCCGGCTGTTAGAATCGCAGAAACTCCCATGTGGACTCTTTGTCAAAAGCCCAGTCTTTCTATGTTTACTTCGACTACACAGTTTTTAATTTTTATCAAAATATAATATGTTCACGGAAATTTTAAAAAGATTTGTTCAAAAAAGATTTGTATCTTATCTTAAAAGGAATACAATACGGATGAAAGAACAACATAGAGAACTTAAACAGAAAAGGCTTATGTGAACACTCATTTCATGATATAGAACTAATACTATTAAAAGCATTGTAAAAGTAACATTTTCGAAAAGCATTTAACAGGTTACGAAGCTAACGTGTTAAGCGGCCATTTCAGTTCCCCTTTTTCATTACACACAACTGCTAACAGCAGCGACTAAACGACGACTCCAACCAATAGTCAATAAATTTATTGCCACACAACCCTTTTTATTGAATGCATTGATATTGTATTCGAAAATTGTACGCGACAGTGACACTGCAGAAGAGGAGAAACTCAAATATTCCTTTTTTATGTCATAAAAATGGTAAACCTATCGTTCAGTTAATGTCTTGTTACTAGAAAAAGTTTAGCACTAAGTAACGGCAATATTTGTCGTGGCCCGCTCGTCATCGAACTGACTTTAAGGCGCTTTGTCTCCCTTACAGCGCCTTTAGCACAAGAATTGCATGCTAAAAAACTCACCGGATCGTGTATGCCCGCCAGCGGTATGTGATTACCGTCTTCACCAGCATTCGCCACATATTTCTCCAGTTTCTTCAGTTCCTGTTCGATAGGTGTCCATTCGCTCTTCAACGCCAAAGCGAGTATCTTATTTGTGGTGTCGCGTATGGAAGCGCCCGCGCTCGGTGGCTTCGGTGTTGGGAAGCCCTCAGTTTCCTTCTTATCCCCATTACTAGAGCTGTCGTCCTTCTGATCTGAATCGGCTTTACTGGCCGGTGTGGCGCGTTCACTGGCAGTGGTCGATTCTTCAGGCGTGTTCGCGCCGGCCGCGCCAGCAACATTCGAAGGCGTACGTCGGCCAATGCCTACACCAGCGCCGCCACGCCCACCACGTTTGCCTGGTAGTGACATTGTGTATTGCAAATTTAAACGGTTTTATCAATAACACAAGAAATATTCATTTTGGTGAACACAACATTTTGCTGCACATTTGCAACACATACAGACGCAAACGATTTCGCTGTATTTGTGAATTGGCTGCTTGCAATTTCTACTTAAGCTGACTTGGAGGCGATTACACAACGAAAATTCTCACTTTTATCACAACTAGCAAATAACCACTACGATTCTTCAGTTGTACAAAATCAGGCTTTATCTTTTCTTTGTACTCATAACTTATTTTATTTTCCTTTAAAGATTGTTGTATTTATTTTAAAGATGTAAAAAATAACTTTAAATAATTTGAATTCACTATTTGAGTCACATAACTGCACTTAAAGCTATACACTGCTGCTTTTAGTATATACCATACACATACAAGTATGTTTGATATCACTTAATCCTTCAGTCAGTATGCCAAGCAAAATGCGAAAATTTTTGAAAACCAACCGTTTGCAACGAGCGACTCCGACTTTCTGATTTTTCACGCTCAATCCTGCCTCAGGTAAACCTCGGCAAACTGGCTTTCCAGCGCCTAAGCCATGTGACCGGAAGCTACCTTAGCAACATGACGAATACTTGCGCAGTAACGGAAGACGCCATGGAAGTGCTGGCTCCTTGCATTTGTTTGAAGCCGCTTCAACTTGTTTGATTTCGCCAGCCGCTATGCCGTCAAGATTTGTTTGTTTACATTTGTTGATTGTTTATTATGTGTTAATATGTGGAGAAGCGGCAGCGAAATGAGAAAATGTTGGAGCATGCCGTGCCCATATCGTTCTAGAATACCGCCACACTCAATTAGCTACTTCTCGTGAGTAGCTCTCTTGTATGCACAAGTGAGAATTGCTTTGCATGCACAACCAAATCACTTACATACTAGATCAAGTTAACACTCTCACTAGTTTTTTATAAGCTATAGTATAGGAAACATATAACTTATGCACATAAAAAGCAACCTTTGAAACGTTCAGATTGATACTGGCTTATCAGATTCTAAAAGAATTGTGCTGATGTGTTATACACAAAGATCAAGATCTAAAGATCTGAATGAAAGCGTCTCAAATGTAGCATTAAATACACACACATACATATTTATTTATAATAAACTCACATATAGACAAGCACAAACAGAGACCGATAACAACTTATACTATATATTTTTAACTTGTAATGAAATGTAAACAACATACGAGTATATTTTATTACTTATATGCCCCTTTTCTCAAGCTTTGTGTACATTTGTATGCGTCATTATCTTATTTACAACTGATTTATTTTATTATATTTAGCTCTATTAACGATGGGAGCGCACATAGCGCCAGCGAGTGTAAGTAATTGAGCATTTGCATACGCCGAAATTATAAATTTGGAAAGTTCACAAGGTGACTGAGATATGAAAAAAGTTTGCCGATTTGCATTTCACAGTTATACGAGTAGATTGTTTTCGAAATGGTTTCTTTCACTGAAACTCTTGGACGTGTTTAATGTATAAAACACTGACTGCCTGCACATCGAATGTTATAACCCTTACGAAATTGAAAAAATAAAGTAACGTGTTTAAACACATTTTACAAAATTATAATTTTTATAAAATTTTTTTATTAATTATTAACTTTGGAATGTAAGTATCTTTTGTGCATATCTTCTGCTCTAACTCTCCGCTTCCTTTTGAAACCACTCTAGTAATTCGAACTTTTTTATTTTTCCAGAGGTTGTTTTTGGAAATTCTTCAACGCATCGAACATAGCGCGGCACTTTGAAGTGGGCTATTTTACCATGGCAAAATTTCTTCACATCTTCGTGTATGAGCGTGTTTGCACCAGAGCGCAAGCGTATGTATGCGCAAATCTCCTCGCCCATACGCTTATCGGGTACACCAATTACCTGCAAAGCATGTAAGAATAACAGTACGATGAGAATTCGAGGTAACACAATTATGTGTATGTCACTATTTACCTGCGCCTCAAGGATATCCTCATGTGTGTCTAGAAAGTCTTCGATCTCCTTTGGGAATATGTTTTCTCCACCACGAATAATCATATCTTTTTTACGACCGGCAATACGCCCGACACCATCGGATTGTAGTATGAATTTGTCACTTAAAAATAAAAGAAAATTTGTAAATAAAATTTAACAAAGTGGCCCTGTTATCCGCACACTCACCCAGTCTTGAGCCAGCCATGTTTATCTAGCGTCTCCTTCGTTTTATCCTCATCGTTTTGATATTCCGTCATAACCAAATAACCACGAATGCACAATTCCCCCAACTCACCGAATTTCACCACCTCCCCTTTATCATTGATCACTTTTGCCTCAAGGTGTTCGTACAAGCGTCCAACCGTTTGACATGCTTCCTTCTTGCTCTCTGTGCCGTCTTGTATAAAGAATGCTGCACATCCTTCCGACATTCCATATCCAATCAAGAATTCATTCAAATTGAATAGCTTTTTTGTTTGTGAATAGATCTCGGGCGAACAAGCCGCACCACCCACAACGCCCAACTCTAATGTATGAATTGGGTTTTTCAAAACCTTCTGCTGTTCCAGCATACCCACATACATCGTTGGCGTGCCCAATATGATGTTGCAACCTTCGTTAGCGACACTTGCCAATGCCGCCACACTATCGAACGTTGCACTGGGTAGCACTAATGTAGCGCCATGACTTACGGCAGCGTTCAACACACTCAAACCGAAAACATGGAACATAGGTAATGTCATGCATATATACTTGTGCTCCTTATGCATCTTGAGCGCCTTACCGAAATAATATCCTTGATTAAGAAAACTGAAGTTACTTAGTACCGCTAACTTAGGTAGACCAGTGGTGCCTGAAGTAAATTGTATATTGCTTGCGCTTTCCGGCTTAATATTTTTGACATTTTCATTTAACTCATCTATAAGTTTAGCTTCCGTTGAAGACGATTGACTAAGCAATTCAGCCCAATTTGTGAACTCTCCCAATGAGGACTCGCCAGCTATGACAACGTGCCGTAAATGCGGAAATTGCGTATTTTCAATCGTGCGAGATCCAGCTGCACTTGCAGTTGGAAATAAATCTTTCAAAATCTTGTAAAAATGCTGCTTGCCGCATTTTTCCGTTGTTATTAGCGTATGAACTTTGCCCTTCTTCAGCGCATAGCTGAGTTCCTGTGCCTGCAGCGCTGGATTTATACAAGCAGTTACATAACCGCCCAGCTGTGCAGCCAAGTAACTAATGTACCATTGCGTGCTGTTTGTGATCCAAAGGCCCACAACATCCTGGCGTTGCACGCCGAGTTCTTGAAGTTTTACCGCCAGCTTTTCGGCTTCATATTTGACCTCTGCAAAGGTGTAACGCTTGTTTTCATAGCACGAAATGAGCGCAGGTCGATCTCCATACTTCGCAGCGGCTTTCTGTATCAGCTCTCCCAGTGTGCTGTACTGCAGAGGCTCCTTGCCTGTTTGGTGAAAATAAGCTAAATCCGAGTAGCTGAATACGAATAAAGTTTTAGCAGATTTCAAAGTTATAAAGTGGTCAGTAATCACCTTCGCTTATCTACTTGTATTTGATAAGCTGCTAATTTCGTGAGATTACAGTTCACATTTACTTTTCTGCAGTGCGCTACGACACTGAAAATGCTCGTATATAATTTCATTTATAAGCGTCTCGTATTTAGAATTGAACGAAAAGAAAGAGCTTATCACAATAAGTGTTATCCGTTCTGCGCGCGCTAGTACACTGATTTAAACAAGAGTGACCCGAGCAAGCGAGTAGCTATCGCCAGTCAAAGCTTGAGGTGTATGTTTGTTTTGAAACTGGAGAAACTGACCATATTCGAACGAGAAGCATTACAAATGTCGAGTACTTTATTTGACGGACTTTATATGAGAGAGCTCAATAAGCATGCTCACTTTATACTCAGCGTTCACTCATTCAGCTCAACTAGCTTAAAGAAGCTTCCATTTAAATCGGTGTTTGTCGTTATGCCTTTGAATAAAAGCGTTGGTGCGTGACACCAATAAGTAAATCCTAAGAAAACTAAAAAAATTCTAATAAAAGTGACTGCGATGCTTCAGATTATAAAATTAAACAAAAAAAAAAGGCTTGAATATAGAACTTAATTTTAATACTAATGAAGTAATAAATATAATACAAAGATAATTTAAAAATGTGGTTGATATTTTTCGCAGACTTGTCTATGGCTAACTGAGCTGACATTTTAACTTTTTTCTTTCTACTACAAAGAAGAATGCATTAGAATAAAATTTTTACACATATCCAAACATATATACTTACACAGAATTAGTGTTACTTATATATTGGTGTGGTAACCCAATCCCCAAGGAAATAGAAAGTTTAGTTTAGCTGCGAATTTGTTAAAAACGTAGAACCGCATTGTCACCTTAACCACTTGCTTTACCGATCAGTTCTTTGGAGTGTCGCAAAACCGGTAACAGGCAAACAAACATATCACCGCCGCTACTTAGTGATATCTAATGAACGTTGTGAGAGCAAATATTAAAGAACACACACATTCGTCAAGAATCGTAATTACTCAACACATTTAATTTTTTCATACACAACTATACACCGAACACTTCACACACAAACGTAATATTTAATAATCATTAACCCAATCTAATTATGTCCAAATGTTTCAAGTAGCCACCTCTGACGCTCTCAAATTGTGTGCTCGCTACGCTCTGTTTTGCTCGTCGCATTAAACAAATTTAGTCGTGCACTGACTGTTGGCGGCACACTAATGTGTTCAGACTATATATAATATCTTATATTGTGTGTTGTCAGCAAAGTCTGAAAATATTCCACTTAACTTATTAATACAACTACAAAATATTGAATTTAATAAATAGAAGAAAGCGTGTCACCAAGTTTTATCGTCTTTCTGAGCGTCGCATCTATGTTTATCAGTTCGTGGCATAAATAATAAGACATATTTGCTCACACGCAACTGTCTTTGCGGTCTGCGTCGATTTAGAACACTGAAGCGACCTTCACCTTGAATTAAATGATAGTGCGAGCTATGATGAGCAGCAAAGGGCTTGCAATTACTCAGCATTTTTATAAAAGTGTGCTCAGCAGATCGCGCAGACAGCGTTCTCACATTTGGCTTCGTCGGTGAGTATAGGTGTGCAAATAGCATACATAATCGACACACAAATTCACGATCATTACAATCGTAAGACTAACAACAAAGCAAAATGTTGCACTCTATATGTTTGTATATATATATCTATGTAAATAAAAACAATTACTCAAAGACAAACAAATAAAGTATCGCTAGTGCTATATACTCTAGTCAGCTTATAAAGCCTTTTACATATATTGATCATTTTCACTATCGTTTCATTTAGTTTATCTGTGGAACCTCCAGCGGCTGTGAAAGGACACGACTCTCACCCCGCCCACTTGCATTATATTGGCAAGCAGCCTTTGGTATATCGCAGTGTTGGACAGGAACTTGAACGTGCTGTTGCCGAATATGGCACTACGGAATCCATTGTTTCATGTCACGAGCAAAAGCGCTACACATTCCGAAGTCTCATTGAGGATGTGGATCGTATTGCAGCCGGCTTATTGAAGCTCGGTCTGCAGCAAGGTGATCATGTGGGAATTTGGGCTCCCAACAATATGCACTGGTATCTAACTATGTTCGGAGCAGCACGTGCCGGTTTGGTGTCGGTTGGCATAAATCCCGCCTTTCAAGGGCCCGAAGTTGAATACTGCCTGAAAAAGGTCAAAGTGAAAGCAATAATAATGGCGGAGCGCTTTAAGACACAAAACTATTATGAAATTATTAAAAGTATTTGTCCGGAGTTACCAGACAGTGTTAATGGCTGCATAAAGAGCGCCAACTTGCCTCATCTAAAGTATGTCGTTGTTGACACCCCGAATAAATTGAAAGGGGCACTTACTTTTGACGATTTGCTCGATTTAAGTAACCCAGCAGAAAGAGTTGATGTCACAAAACTCCAGCGACATATTGTACCAGATAGCGGATGTAATATACAATTCACCTCCGGTACCACGGGTCAACCCAAGGCAGCTGTAATTTCGCATTACAACTTCGTTAACAACGGCATACACATCGGTAATCGTAATCAATTGGACAACAGTTCGCGCATTTGTGTACAAGTTCCTCTCTTCCATGCTTATGGTGTCGTCATCACCATTATGGCCGCCATGTCACATGGAAGTGCTTTGGTATTACCAGCAGCAAGCTTTAATCCTGCTGCCTCGTTACATGCCATTGTAGACGAAAAGTGCACCGTTATACATGGTACACCCACGATGTATGTTGATCTCATTAAGAAGCAAAGGGAGCTAAATTTACCACTGAAGACAGCAAAAATGGCCATAACTGGTGGCGCAGCGTGCTCACCGCAACTATTTTTGGACATTAAAAATGTTTTAGGCTTAGAGCATGTACGTACGGTTTTCGGTATGACCGAGACAACGGCAGTTATATTTCAGTCCCGCGCTGTTGATAGCATGGAACAAATTTTAAATACTGTCGGCCATCTGCAAGATCACGTCGAAGCGAAGGTGATTGACGCTCAGGGCAAAACAGTTGCATTCGGCGAGCGTGGTGAACTGTGCGTACGCGGATATGCTACGATGCTGGGTTACTATGACGACGAAGAGAAAACTAAAGAGACCATTGGCAGAGATAGGTGGCTCAGGACTGGGTGAGTAACTTGTGTTTTACTCAAACATGCACTCATAATAAAAATACAATTTTTATCGAACGCAGCGATCAATTCATTTTACAAGAAGATGGTTACGGTCGCATTGTGGGACGCCTGAAGGAGATGATCATACGCGGAGGAGAGAATATATTTCCGAAGGAAATCGAAGACTTTCTCAACACTCACCCGGATATTTGTGAAACTCACGTATGTAAAAGTGGTTTCACATTACAGTTTATTCCTCACATAGATCTATTTAAATTTTCGCTACTTTCAGGTGATTGGTGTACCTTGTGAAAGAATGGGTGAGGAATTATGCGCCTTCGTACGTTTGCATGATGGCCACCAGCAGATATCGCGTCAAGCCATTAAAGAATTTTGTCAGGGAAAACTGGCACACTTTAAAATACCACGTTATATAATAAACGTTAAAGATTTCCCAAAGACCACTTCCGGCAAAATACAGAAGTTCAAACTCGCCGAAATATATAAGAAAGTACATAAGACACAATAATATTGGCGAGGGATGTAAAAGTCCACAATTTCTAGAAAAAAGTATGCATTTATTATTTGATAGTTTTCATATAGAGTAATATAAATTAATCGTTTAGTACAATGTTTAATAAATTTTTAAAATGAAATTTTTATATTTTTTTAGAAAGGTTAAAACGACTAAAACTGATTTTAAATTATTGACAAAACTAAATAAAGTAGATAGTGTAGAAAAACTATAAGCGTTGCCTTTATATCTGAGCAAACATTATATTGGTTATATTATGGTTTTAAACAAGAAAATACTCTTTAACACAACGGTATTACAATGATGCATCGCAAAGAACTATCATTTCAATAAACATTCACGTAAGCATAATGTGCTAGCTTCAATTGGCTGGCCTTAATTATCCGCACAAACAATGAAAATGTTAAGAAAATAAGCAAGAGAGCAAATATTTACAGGACAATCAGACAGTTAACACTATATTTTATTTGGAAACAATCACATCACAAATGCACAAATGTTTGTATACACATTTGGTTATATCAAGAACTTGTTTCGTTTGACGGCACTTGCGCCCAGTTGAAAATAGGCGCATATATCACTGGCGATCCGCTGGTTGGGTCGGATAGATTTTCGCTAAGTACACGCACAATAAAGCTCAAGGCGCCAGTGGCGTTTTGCGTCAAATTCAAGATGGGTGCTGGAGTTGTTGTCGTTGTTGTCGTCGTCATTTGGCCGCAAAACATGTTTTTTAAGCTTCTAAGTAGAGCCAAACCAAATGCAGTGGATTCGTAGAACAAGACGGAAAAAACTAAATGTGTAAAATTAACATGCTTCAATCCTGAGATCTTAAACTCCAACACGAAGACTCACCTACTACCGCAAGAAATAGTTTCAGATTCATTTTCTGAAATGATGGCAGCAATACGATTAAAATGTTAGTTTCAAAGTAAAGCTCGAGCTTTTTATATGTATACTCGTTAGACGACCCGCTATCAATTAGCATATTAATGAGTTGAACATAATGTAATAAGAAAATCTTATCTAACAGGGTTATGCATTCTTTTAATGTCACACAAATTAGAGGCGACAATTTATGCTTAGACACGCTCATGAGATGAACACTCTGGATGTATTATATATGTGAAGGTGAGCATTGTTTAATCTTGTAAATGGTGTATGTTGTCACTTCCAAATTTATTTTCCACTGAAGCCATAACACACTCGACCATGGTGAACCGATTTCATAGACATACGAACATACCTTGTCGGTACATTCGCGATTAATTTAAAAAAAAAATATTGAAACATTATAAGAAATTTATTGTTCATTAACTTAATTATGTGCAATAAGTTATAACATCACGTTATATGCCAAAGCCTATTATGTAATGGTGTTAAGTTGTCTGTTGGATACTATGCTTCAGCAACTGGATACGTTTGTTATTGTGCGATTTCGGGCGGGCTTTCGATAGCCTCTCCATTTACACCGACCGGAGCTGCAGGGGTATTTGCAATAGCAGGTTGAGCCTCGAGCACGGGCGTTGTAGCAACCGTAGCTGGTAATTCCGTAGCGCCGACTGTGGTCATTTCTAGAGAGACCGGACCGCTTGAAGTAGCTTGAGTCGTAGCTGCAGATTCACCATCAATAGGTGATACAATTACATAAACTATAGGCGAGAATGAAGTTGGCCGATTATCAGCACCTGAAGTGAAGAGCGGACTCAGTAGTGAAAACTTTTCACTGACAATACTGCCAAATAGAGTTGGCAACATGAATGATGAAGTGAAATCTCCCAAAAAGCAAACCAGCAAAAATGTCGCTGAGGACGAAAAATGATTGTTATTTAAAAAAAAAAAAACTGCTGTCATTTCGAGTACAATACACTTTATATATATTATATAACTTACTGAAAAGACGTGAAGTTAACTGCGAAGCCATGTCGAAGCCGTGCAAACAATGTGATAGCTTTACTAACTGAACTCCAAAAGACCTAGTGGTGCTTATATATGGTAAATTTGCTCACAATATATGTAATGTTATAGCTCGAATTGTTACTGCAGATGCTTATATTTGTTGTTGTCAATTTGCAATACTCTATATATCTATGTAGGCCTATTGTTTCTTTGTTATCACACCATAAAACATGTTCAAAGCTTGCACTTTGCCCTGTTCTATTGTAATTCATACGCATTGCAAACTTAAAAGAGCGCACTAACCCATCTAGGCATCGGGTATTGATCGTAAAGTTGTTTTTTTGGTTGGAAGAACATACGAGTACATTATGAAAACAATAATTTTTTCTATTAACCGAAAGTAGTACATATAAAGAATTGATAATAATATGCACAGATTTACAGACTTCTAAATTTTGACACTGAACACTTAATTACTTAGCATGAATGTGCATAATGAGCCCAGTTGTTCTCTCTTAAAGTAACAAGTAATAATAACATTGGGTCTTTAGCCACTTAGTCATGGGATCTACTTGTATGACGTTTAAAAACTATTGTTGCTTCAGAAATGAGCAATAGCAGCATACGACATGATCAGCAACAGTGATGGATATACAGAGGGGAGGTTTGGGGTTTATCACCGCAAATTCTACTACATCGACATTGGTAGAAATATTTCTTTCGAAATATCGCATTGATATCCAACGTACAGCACGGATTTCGCACGCAATAACTACGTTCTGTCCACACAACAACGCCAATTTTTGTGATGTCAGAGGAAACCGCTGATGCCTTGAAAGAATCCGGATCAGTTTCGGTTACGTAGACCGTAGTGTATTGTACTTTATGGAAATTGACATCAAATTATAACTGCTGCAATAAATTCATCGTTAAATTTTCACAAATAAATACACATAAATTCTTAATTTGAAACAATCCATTTCATATATTTCGTTATATTTATTGGTTTTTCAGCATTTTCCTTCCATTTAACGAACCCAAGCTACAATTTTTTTTTTTCAAGCTTATCAGACATTCCGCTTTTAAGAAAATACGCTGCGTTGGCATATCCTGGGTTTAAAGATTCAATCCTAGGAAATTCATGCCGCCGAGATACATACTATAATCAACGTGAATATTTAGTTTATATTTCTCATAGTTCTGCATTTTTTTTTATTAACTGCATTTGGGTAATTTTTCATCCCTCTTAACGGTGACAATTTCATTTAGTTTGCTTGCTCCATACATATGGTAGAGTACAATGTAACTGTATTTATTATATTGTAAGGAGGTCTAAAGGTAATGGGTAAACCATGTAGTGTGAGTTACTTTATTTTAGGGATTTCAATTATCATTTTAGTAGCATATATGTATAATAAATACCAACACATACAGATTTGCTTAAATTATTTTCCATGCATTCAAGTAAGCCTACATACATTTTTATATAAAACAAATAAACAATCAATATAAGTTATTTTCTTAGTTTTCTTTTTTAATTATAATGCACATTCTTGGATATAATTCATAATTTAATGCAGCTCAGCTTAACGTGACAAAACTGACTGACTGACCGATCTAGTTGACTGACTGACAGACTCACCGACTAACAAACTAACGAACTTAAAAATTACAGTTAGGTAAGTAACATACAGTAATGTAATCTTAATATTAAGGTACACATTTTAATTAAAATTAAATAAATACAATTAACATGAAATAAATTAAAAACTAAACAATTTCTTTAAAGCTAAAACATTTCTCTCTCCCCCGCTTCCGCCTGCGACACTTGTAAGTGCGCGCACGTGTAACATATCAAATAGCCAGTAGCTTATAATGCTTGCTACACACACATATAGAGATTTAATTCTTCAGGTTTCGTATCATTAGTGGACTTCATTTACGGGCGCTAATGTTGCTAATTAAGACTGCATTAGACGGCCTGATTCCATGCTCAATTCAAATAACTGCGTTCAACAAAGCAGTCCGCACAAAAAATAGTTTATTCATTAAAAAACGCTACCTAGCCGTGGAGTGCTACTAAAAAATATATTGACAGCTCCCCACTTTTGTGTAAGTAACTTCACAATATAATTCCATGCAGCGTTCAAATATCTTTCTTTTTAACAAATGCATGTGCTGTTCCGTTATAGATTTTATACTCAAAACATTTTGCATTAAAATTTTAAATATTAGCAAAAAGTAATTTTTTTAATACAAAACTCTTACAACAACTTTTGAACTCTCATTTGGCGAACAACAAAGCGGAAATTCCCTTTCCTTACACAAAGCTTCTTACTCTTATACCAAAATGAATTTGTTTGTCTAATTTCGACTGGAGTATATAATCCTTGAGAATGCGAAATTATTAATTTTATCATTATTATTATTCTCTTTGTTGCACACGAATTGAAAATGACAAATAAATCGGTAACGGTACATTATTTCCTCTTTTTGCATTTAAACAAAATAAAATAAGGTTAACTATAGATACATATATTCTGCGCTCAGCGCGTTACTCTCTGACCAATGTCCACTTCACTACAACATACAAATACATATTCTATTGGCCAGCCTTTTCAACCAAACTTCGTCCGTTCATCTACCACCAATGTATTCAAGTTCACTCAACCTTCAAATGGCGCTTGTCCTAAGCTGATGAAATGTGAGTACATTAGCAGTAAAATAGTTGCAACTTGTTTAACCTCTTATCGGCTTTTATTTTGGTTTTGCTTTACTTCTCTTTATAAATTAATTTTTTTTCTCTCTATCTCTTTTAGTTGTCGATTTGCCAGTAAAATTCGGCAGCAAACGGCTAAATTCCAACTACGAAAACTCACATGCCGGTTCAGAAGCTATCGTCTTCTTCATCTTGTTCTTCTAATTCCTCTACTTCGTCTTGTCATACTGTTGAGCCGTTTGTGAAAACCTCTGGATCATCGGACCAACTAACTTCCATCGGTGTGCCGTTTAGACTGTGAATTTTATCCAAGAGCAAAACTTCTTCCAGTGACATATGTGAGTTCTTTAGCGATGAAGTGGAGCCTGTGGTCGCTGATGAGGTCGACACTGAGCAAACAATTTCATCGGAGGATGCTGAGCAACCTTCGTCCTCGGAGTTAGTGCCCGATACCATAGCTTCGCCTGCAGATTCTTGTATCTCATGGAATTTCTTTTTAAGATCATGTACAGATGCGTGAGTGGGTAACGATTGAATGTCTAAACGCTCGCCCGAGTTCAATTTTGATGTGTCGCACGTAATGAGCTTTCGCGTGGGTGCGCTGGTTATTGAAGTGCGTTGAAAGAGTGAAGTCTCGTGTGGAACTGTCTCCTCCGAGACTTCTGAGCACATTGTTGATGTTCGTGGCCGTATCGCATTCGCATGTGGTGAACTCGAACTGATCGGTTCTTTCCAATTAATCAACTCGAGCTGATGCTGTTTTCGTGCACTAGAACTTGAGCTTTGTCGCATTAGCCGTTTGCCACTTTTTGTGCCTACCGATCCGGTATTGAGAGCGCCAGGGCTAGATTGCCCCGGTTCGGTGCTCTTTACACTCACTGATTTCGACCGTATGCGCGAGTGCGAACGTGTGCTGAACTCGTGTCGCCCATCGCTGGAATGTTGTCTCATCACTGATGTGGCAGACATCGACTGCGATAATGGGTTCGGACCCACACTACTATTGTCATTGCCATATGTGGGACCGCTACCAACACTATTCAGTGATGTGTTTATGGCGCTAGAGCAGCCAGACAATTGACGGCGAGTCGAAGGACTACGCTCGACCGAACGGAATGAACCAGCTCGTTTGACCATCTTCGACGCGGCCGCTTCGGGTGTTTCATCGTCCATTTCAAGTACCCACGAAACAGAATCCGGCTTCTCAATCACACCTTTAACCACGGGCGATGTCGGTGGAGAGATATCTTCCATCTGTATATTGATTAGCGAGGATCCGTTCATCAGCTGAGACCGATTCAGTAAGCCAATACTGGACTGACTTGTATTTATCGAGTCCACAGCTGAGAGCTCGTGTAATTTTGTTTCTACAATATGTAGCTGTTCCGAGCGTTGTTTGAGCTGCCATTGCAACTGCTCATTATCATAACTAAGACGTTTACGTTTGACCATCTCGTGGTTATAAGCTTTCTGCATTTCATTGATTTTACGAAGAAAGTCCCTATGAAAACCAAGACAAAAAATGTATATTATTATATGATGAAAATTGTTGCGACTAAAATGTAATTCCTTATTGTGCTCAAGTACTTACTTCTCCTTCTCCGACTTGATATCCAGCTCTGACTTCAACATTTCATTGTTTGATTCAAGCAAAGATATTTTCCCCTGCAAAACACCACGTTCCTCAGCATCACGCATTAGCTCCTCATTATGTTTAGTCAATTTGGAAATCTCCTTCTGTTTTAATTCCAACACACAATGCAAACTATCCGCTTCACTTTGCAGACGCGCCAGTTCCGACATACTAGAGTTGCGCGGCGAACTAATGCCGCTGCTGCGATCCAGGCTCTCGTTAAAGCTGCGCTGTGAGGATCGTAAAACCGAAATCTCATCCTGCGACAGATTTAACTTGTCGCGCAAGTCGCGTTCCCTGTTCTCATTGGTAGCTCTAAGCCCACTGAGTTCCTTTGTCAGCGATTTCACACGTTCATTCAAGTTATTCTCGCGGTCTGTAGCAGCTTGGAAACGTGCGGCGTAGGCATTTTCAGTGCTAGTCAATTTTTCACGCAACTCTTGCTCAGAAATCGCCAATAAATTGAAACGCTCTTTTAATTTGAGTTCGCGTTGTTCGACTTCATTAAGTTGCTGTTGCTTTTGTGTGAGTTTATTATCAATTTCTAAGCGATACGAATCGAGTGTACGCTTATGTTCCACGACTTGTGCTTCTAATTGTGACTCGAGCGCTGCGAATTTCTCCTGAGCAAAAGCTTGGTAATCGGAGAGACTTGTTTGTGCTATAAAAAAAAGAACTGCCGTTATGGCTATTGTTTTTAAATTAAAATTCGAGTTTGTTTACCCTTCTCCATTTCGCAGCGGTGCAGAGCCTGCAGGTCTTCCTCGCGCTGAGTATAATAACCCTCTTTGTCGCATAGCTGATCCTGTAGGCGAGAACAGTTTGATTTTGCTTCATCCAGCAACTTTAGAGTTGTGCTTAAATAATTTTGCATTTTCTCCTTCTCTGCCTTAACACGAGGGCAGGCGAATGCATCCAACTGAAATATAGGCATAAAAAATGTATTATTAATGAAAATTAATTAAGTTTCTACTGTTTGCTAGACACAACACAAAGCTGAGGCTCACCGTTCTTGTACTCGTCACATCGTCGTCATAGTCAGAAAAAGCTTCGGAGCAAAGTCTGCTCCTTTTCCTATTACTAATCATTTCAAATTGATCAATCTTTTTTTTC